AAAAAAAAGAGAAACAGATATAGAAATATAAGTATATTATCATTGTACAAATGAATAAAGTCCTAGAATAAATGAATAGAATATATATGGAGAAAGTCTTTTTGATCGATTAGTAATTTCATCTGTTTCTTGTGATAAAAAATCTAAATAACAAAAAAAAAAATTTAATAAAATTATAAAATTTAATATTTACCTGTTGTACTTGTTGATTGATATTCATCCGCATTATATTGTTTATATAGATCAACTGGTGTTGTTGTTATTGCTGTTGTTTTAATAGGTGGTGTAGTATGACGATGTTTTTTTGCAACATGATGATGATTTTGTATAACTGTTATGGATTTTTCACTTTGACCATGACGATTTATAGCACGACAAATAAATTTTGAATTAAAAAATCGTTTTGGTATATGCTAGAAAAAAAAGTAAATAAACAATAATTGATATTTCTTTCGAAAGGAAATGATTGTATTACTTTAATGAAAAGACTTGTTTTCCATCTAGTTGAATTAATTTTTTCTTGTGAAATCGACCAAATTGAATTTTCTCTTCTTTTGTTATTATTATTATTATTATATCCTTGATTAAATTGACCAGATAAATCCATTTCTTGATTAATATCATCGGTGAATCGATGTAACCATCGTATATCCGGTTCCGGATTAGCATCAATCAAACATTCAAACGTAATTGTATCACCAATCGAATGAAAAGATTTTACTTTGGGACTATATACATCTGGTGGAACTAATAAAAAGCAAAAATAATAATTTGAATTCTAATTTTTTTGTTTTCAATTTAGAAAATTTACATTGAACATCAAGTGTATAAAATCGACCAATAGTACCAATAGAATTCGCTGCTACACATTCATATATTCCATTGTGCCAACGATTAACATCGAAAAGATTCAATTGACAGGTGGTAGGCGTAGTTGTACAATTGATCATCGTTTTGGGTTGATCGTCTGTATTGAAAGAATAACAAAAGATGAATATAAAATTCTTATTGTTTTTAATCTATACCATCTATCTTTTTTATCCAACTGACAAATGGACTTGGTTTGCCTTGTGCTTCACATGCAATAGACACATTTTTTCCGATTTGTGTACGTAATAATGTCGTATATTCATGAGTAACAAAGTATGGTCGTTCTAATTAAATAATAAAAAAAAGAAGAAAAAGAACGTCTAGTATCCACTTAAAGAAAAACTACGTCTGATTCTCTTTTCTTTGTTCAGTATTTATTAGTATTAAAGGAAGAAAGAAGAAAAGAAAGAAAAATCGATGACTGATTATTGTCTTATTTTAATTTCTTTTCTTCTCGTGATCTTCTCTATTTATATATTAGACTTAAAAATGTATGATGTAATCCAATGTTATCAAATGTAATGTATGTACATATGTCATAAACTGGTCATGATCATACTTACCAACAATATTTAAAACGAATAGTTTGATAATTCTATTGTCTTCTTGACATGAATATGTCCCATCATCTGCTAAACGTACATCATCAATTGTCAATGAATATGTCATTATTTCATATGATGTGCCATTATTAATGTGAAGAATAGGGCGTTGTTCTATTTGAAAACGTTGATCAGTATTAATTCGACTTGCTGAATAGAAAAATACTTCGGCATCTTCTAAACGTAACCATAGACCCTTTACAAGAAGAAGAAGAAAAAAAAAGAAATAGGGATCATTAAGTTTGATTATAATCAAATGAAAAGTTCTTTTTTTTTTATTCGTCTTCTCAAATGTCAATGATCATTAGACATTTGACGACAGGTGAAAAAAAAAGAATGTCATTCATAATTGAACTTACCTTCGTATTACCAGACATTGTTAAATTACTTAGTTCGCATTCTAGTCGTACCCGTTTGCCCACATTGACATTAATATAATCTCGAGATATAGGTGTATCATCTTTTAAACTATTTGTCATTGTGTGCAAAACGGTTAAAAGTAGTGTCGTCATAAGACGACGGATAATCATTTCATCAATATGTAAAAATGATCGTACATCTAGAAGAAAGAGTGAGATGAAGAGAAGAAAAAAAGACTTGAGCTTCTCTATCTATTCACGCATGTTTGCGTACATAGATATATGTATTGATGAATGTAGAATAGCCAGCAGCTAATTCTAACACCTCTTACACGCTATACTATCGTTGACGTTTGTAACTTCTTCTTCTTTTTTTTGTTACTTATGTCGCACGTCGACTTTTGCTTTGTATATATATTAAACCCTGTGGGTCTCATGCATATATATACACGCAAGATTAGCTGTCTTTCGTTTCTATTTCTTTTTTAACCTTGAACACAGTGGAATGTAAGGTAAAAAACATTGTATGTCTGTCTCATGACATGATCAAAATGGATGAATGAACTTATTTTTTTTCCAATTTTCATCTCATATTGTTTCATAGATGGTCAGTTGATGTATGTATGTATGTGATACTTCATCTCCACCCATTTCTCGTCGATCATCTACAGTTAATGTATATCTACGCACGCGCATACATATATAATATAAACATTAATATTAAAAAAATGGTGAGATGGGAGATTTTAAACTAAAAGATGAATAGACAAGTAGACACAATTAGACGAGAAAGGAAAGAAAATAACTCACCTGTAACTACTGAAGGCTAATGTTACTGATGATCTGTTTCTGGCAACACATTGGTGATGAACCGTTCATCTGACACAAACACAGTTATAAGAAGAAAAAAAAAACTCACCTTCCTTTTCCTTCGTCCACTTTCTTTTCATTGTGTTTTATGGTATAGGGAGAGAGAGAGAGAAAGAGAGCAAAGACATAAGAGCATGAGAAAAAGGAAGAGAGAGAAGCAGACAGGCAGCTAAATAATTGGCTTATTGTTATCATTTGCTTCATCATCTCTCCTCATATTCACTAGCTGCAACGCTAATGAACTGTAAATTGATGAGACGGATGTCGGTGATGATGATGATGATGATGATGATGATGGTGCACTGACTCGATCTATGCATTTATGGTACCGGAATTTGTACCTTATGTATGGTCAAATAGTAACACCTAACTTCTTTATTGTTTTAATCAAGGGCCTCAATGTCGGTTGAAAGAATTGCCAAGTGGTCACTATTCACCTATCATAAACTGAATGAGCGCATACGCGTGCATATAAACAATGCCTATACTCGCTTCCCGCACGTATTAATCCTTCAAATTCGATGATTATGCAAGCGGTCTCTCTTCTATCTTTAAATGTCCTTATGCTTTTTTTCGCTCATTCGCTTACGAGATGAATTACCAATACTACTACTTACTTACTATTGTGAGAACAAGGCAAACGCGAATCTCCCTGCTGAATAAAAATGAGAAAAGAAAAAGAGAGATGAAAAAAATATTTATTGATTGGTGATGGTAGTCTTTTTTTTGCATATATCAATTGAATTTCCATTTCTTTCTTAAAGACAAAAAAAAAAGAACGATTATGATGAGCATTGTAATATTCTATTTTCTTTTGTTTTATGCATATAATATATATATATTTATATATATATATGTTGGTGTGAGTATATGAATGAACACAATACAAAAGAAAAAGAAAGAAAGAAAGAAAAAAAGAAAGAGAGGAAGAGAGAGAAAGACCGACCAACACGTTAATATCGATCCCTGAAACTCTTAGGTACACATAAACATATTACTATTGAATTCTTCTATAAGATGGTATATGATATCTTTTCTCTTTTAATAACGATCAATCACATGATGCATATACATGTATAAATGTTCAATACCCGCTTACTAATTTACTCAGAGAGCATAAACGAGCTGTTCCCTCTATTCCACTTGACAGTGGCCTCGAGCATCCACACATATAAATATATATATATATATACTACCGACACTTGTTTGGTGATGATGATAACGAGCTCGTGTCAAGAATATTGGAAAGAAGAGCGAAAATGCTTGAATGGAAGGCTAATTGGTCGTATATAGTTGCTCTCAACTAACTATTGTTGATGAGAAAAGAAAAACTTCTTCCGTCTTCTCCTCCTCCTCCTTCTTCTTCTTCTGCTTTTTCTTCTTCTTCATCATCATCATCACCATCATCACTATCAACTATACATATCTTGACCAATTCGTCATCACTTGATTTATCATTGTTCTAGTAAAAAAGCGTATGGATTGATCTAAAATGAATCGTTCATGAGAAAGAAAAAAATATAATGGAGAAAACATGTCGAACTGATATTGCGTGGCTCTCATTTTATAGCCTGTCAGACTATCTAATTTCCTTTTTGTCCATTCTACGTTCATTTATATCAATCGACTGGCTACTTAAGCACAAAATTGAAAGACAACGAACATGAGAAAGAATCTATTGTGATTATGTACTTTTTGAAGACCATGATCAATTATAGTATTAGAAGGTAAATGATGACGAGTGACGATGATCGAAACATACAGTTCACATAAGGCTATGATTTGAACAGAATATTTTCCTCGACTTGACCACATGCGGCACACGTATATACACAGCATGGTCTCTACTCAATTGACGACTTCCCACAACGATAGTCTCTTCTTCTTCATCTTTTATTTGCAAGTTGTTTAGACAAAGAACAAGCTAATCATCATTCCGACGTTCCCGACACACAACTGTTCAATCCATATGTACATTGATTTTGTATGTCTATATGTGTGTTTTTCATTCTTTTAAGAATAACAGGACATATACAATATGAACAAAAAAAATGAATCGAATAGAAATCAAAGATTCTATACAGCTAATTTTTGATTAATTTAGTTTGTTCTGTTTTGCTTCAAATTATCATTAAAAATTAGCTATTACGTTTTGTTTTATTATTCAGAAAAAGAAACATCCGGCACTTGTCGTTGTGTCGTCAGTTTTTCTGTCACGCTAAATCATGCATGCAAGTGAGGGTTGTGTGCATGTGTCTATGATAAAAGTCAGAACACGATTTTTATGTACTATTGGGACCAGAAAAAGAGGAGAAGATTATGCAACTTTTACGCATTAGATTAACTATAAAGTTTGTTTCACAATTTCTCTCTGTGTACTCTTACTTATTGTCTTTGTTTCTCGTTCGATTACATATAGAACTAATATCATACTTGGCTATTTTTTTTTTGTTCTTTATTGACAAATGTATGATGATAGTGATGATCTGAGGAATAGTGTTGAAAGCAATCAGATAGTTGTGTCGGCAATCTCATATTACAAAAATACAAAAAAAAAATGAAAGAAAGAAATAATCATTTCAATTTAAAACAGAAGGATCAGCAGATTTCATTTAATTTTTATTATTCTTTGTACAATAAACTAAACTAAGATATCATATACTTCAAACAAAATTGTTACGAACATATATAAATAATATCGATGAACTGTATATATATATCTACTTTCAAACAAAAAATTACAATAGGTGACACTAGTTGATATAAAATGTACCTCTTCCATTGTCGTTCGTTAGCATAGATTTACCCATTATCGAATCAAATAAATGTTTATTTATTTCTTTAAAAAGGAAAATCATTTTCTCTTAAAAAAAAAGAATTAAACTATCCATTTCATATTTCTTTTTCTTCTTCTTTCAGTTATTATTAATGTGTGCAGCACTATCACCAACTCCACCAAATTCATCAACAAATTCATCACTTTCAAATTGTGGTAAAATAAAAAAATATTAAAAAATCGAATTTCTTTTATATAATCTATTTATTAAAGATCATCAAACTATTGATGAAAAAAATGGTCCCATTGATAATAATAATAAATTTCAACAGCCAACATTTTTCAGTTCATTCGAAGCTGAATTAAATAAAGTTGATGATTATTTTGAAACAAAAGCACCTGAAGTTCGTCATATTATACTTGATAGTTTACAACGTATGTATAGTCAAAATGAATGGCATGATAATCCATTAACAATTATTTGTCGTGATCTTGATATTCATGTAAAAAAAAAATTTATAATTCTTAAAAAAATAATTTCTATTTTCTAATAATAATCATAGGTACCAACACCTGAACAATTAATCGAATTAAAAACAACTCGTGATGCATTAAAAGCTGAATATGATGCTTTACGTCAATCAGTGAACAATTGATTTTGTATGATTATTTATTTATTTTCTTGTTTCTTTCTCTCCAAAAAAATGTTCAACAATCATTTGTTATCTTCTAGTCGTAAAAGATAAATAAACAGATATATAAACCGTTGTGTTGTTTTCGGTCTTAAAATTTTTCTCATTGTGCTCTACTTTTTTTTGTTTTTTTCTGGTGTCGATAGATTTTGTGCTTTCATTATGTCAGAAACTTGCCATTCTTGTGTGTGTATATATATAACTTTTCTTTGATCATTTCATTTTTCTTCGTTTTTGATGAACAAAAATAGACTTACGAGATAAACAGAATAAAAAAACAGGGACTGATATTTATTTCAGATAATTTTACATGTCTACAGAAACAAAAACAGGTGATAGAGATGCCATGCCACCAGATTTTGAAACAACATATCGATTATCAACTGAAAGTACAAAACAATGGGATTTAAGAAAACGTTTTCTTGAAAAATATTGGCATCAATATGATGAAGATCGTTTATTATGTTTAGCACGTTAGTAGATTTAATGATAAAATTTAAAATAATATTATTATTTTTATTTTATTTTAGAATGTTATGTGAATATGCGATGTTTAGGATGCAAATATTCAAAGTCACTTAATTCATTAGTTGATGAACTTGCCAAAGAAATTGAATAGAAATTATTTAAATATTCAAACAAAAATATGTTTTTTTGTTATTGTTCTTGTGTATATTTAAAACAAAAATAAGAAAAAGCATCTACTGATAATAATAAGTTTCGTACTTGCAATGAAAAATATTTATTTTTATTTTATATAATAATAATTATTAAAACTTCAGTACAAAAAAAAATCACTTAAACTTCGAGAATAGATTATGTCGGAAATGTTTTTGATTGAGTTTTTCCTATTATTATTTAATTGCATTTATTGCATGTAAACATCACTATTTAATTTATCAACAAAGGGTTTAGCCCATTGTTTTCCTTCATGAAAATTACGATAACCATAAGTAGCACCATTTTCATACCAATCTAGAATTGTAGTCTTTGTGATGCATTTGTGTTCAAAGAAATGTTTTAATAGTATAATCATCAATTGACCTATGATAAGTTTAATATTTAATGTGACATATTATACATGAACTAAATTAGTATACCTGATTTAATTTCATTATAATTACAATTAGTAATATAACGTACAATTGCTGCTATAGCTATATATTCATGATCTGGACAAATCATATAGGTTTTAATTGTAAAAATATGATGAGATAAAATACGTTCATTAACAATAGTAGGCGATAATTTCGAATGCCAAGATTCAAGAAATGAAAGTATTAAAACCATCATATTATTACCATGTGCTGCTCGACTAAGATTCTAAAAGAATATAAAATAACACATTGGTACTTATATTTGAATACATAGTATGACGATTCATTTACTTTGAGTATGAAATGACGTAGACGGTTCTCATTTGAATCTGACACACTCATAAATAAATCTACTAACTTTCTACTCGCATAAGCAGGAAGACGGTTAATATCTAGTGGTAGACGAGACGAATCTGTTGACATTTGTGATAATGAATTTATAGATGGTGCAGCAGATATTATTGTTCGTGGAAATCCAAGTTGATAAGGTAAATTAGAAGTGGCTGTTGTTAATTGTGGCCTATGAGAAAGAGGTAATGTTCCAATTTGATTATGTTCAGATGGATGTCTCACTACTGGTATAAAACCTACATAAAAAAAATGTTTTTAATCATTGTAATACATTCATCATACAGAATATTTATTATAGTTTATTCTGAATTTAAATTAAAAAAGTATATATTGTATACCTGACGATTTTACCGGTAGATATGTCATATGTGAATAGAGATTTTGCTTAGGATCAATGTACACTACTGGTGAAGGTTGTCCACTTGATGGTTGATTTGATGGATAGGTTGAAAACCATTGATTTGTAAGTGAGTATATTGGAGCATGATTTTGAACATTCATTTTTGATGAATTACTTTCGTATGAATGTTGATCATCGAATTTACTTTTTTTAGATTTATTCATTGTAGTATTTTGAATATTAAATGATGAGAATTGATTAGAAGGTTCTGTTGAAGTCCATTGAAGTTGCTTACTTTCTTCTTTTATATCGTTAAGAGCTTGACGCATAACTTGAAGAACTTGATAATTAGCACTTTTTTGTACTTGCATACGTTCCAATGGTTCTCGTACATCTTTTGTAAGTCGTTGTGATAACTTATTCTCAAGTTCAATAAAAGATTTTTGTTTTACTTCGATCGCTTGTTTTTTTTCTACATATATATTTTCAATTTTGTAGAGTATTCTTTGTCGCCATATATCAATGTCTTGAATAGCATCATTATGTTTGCTTTGAATTTGTTGTAGATAAACACTCAAATGTTCAGCTACTTCATTGAGTTGATCAGAAAGTTCATTAGCTTCTTCTAAAAGAATTGCACCATGATTAACAACATGTAAAGCACATAAACGACGGTCACAATGTAAACAAATAGCTGATTGTTCATTTGCACAGGAGTGTTCTTCACATTTGGCCATGGTTAGTCGATGTGTATCATATAATTAGAAATAAAAAGAAAAGAGTGGATATTTTTTGTATTATTTTTTTGTAACCATTATTTATTTTCTCTCTCCTCTATTCTACCTCGTGTTTGACAAGCATTTTTGCCTAATTTGTTGTTTGCGTAGTGATAAAAATTCAGACGTAGCTTTGCCGTTCTTTAGAAAAACAAAACCAATGATTAAAAAATTTTGTCATAGAAAAATAGATTTGTTTTATCATGTTAATGTAATCAAGGTTATAGAAACGACGCGTCTATGTCACTCGAACGTACTTAGTCATTTGGCAATGTACCCAAATATACATAAAAATATTTAGCAAAAAGTACATTAGATCAATCTTGTATGCACTTGATTTTTAACAAAAACGAAATACTTTAATTTAATAGTAGTTTCAAATTATTAATTCTTTATTATATTCAAAAAAAATATACAAATTAACTATTACAATTATATAAATATTAACCAGTTTACGAGCGTGAGAATCGGAGTCCTATCTGGGTGTGTAGATGTAGGTATGGATGTGAGTAAGAAACAAGAGCAGCATGTTACCCATACTATACCAACACCCTTAAATTGGTTGATATTTATCTAAGTTAACGTATTTTTATATTTATGTAATTGTAATATTTAATTCGTACATTTTTTAAATATAATAAAGAAGTAATAATGTGAAACCACTATTAAGTTAAGGCATTTCATATATGTTAAAAATCTAGTGCATGCAAGACTGATCTAACTTAATTTTTGTTAAATATTTTTTATGACTTTTTAGGTGTACATAGTCACTTCCTATAGAGTAACTAATATTTGAAAGAATTATTTTATCGTATCTATATTTTTAATTGTTTTAAATTATCGTCATATCAAAAAATGAATTCAATAATAAATCATTTATTGCATATAATCAAAATAATATATAGTGGTTACAATATTTCAAACTATTACGAAATTTAATGAGATAATCTCATAAAAGGCCCATGAATAGACAATAAAATATATAAAATATCTTTCAATGAAGAATAGCTTTAACAACAAAATTTGATAAAATTCTTATTAAGTTTGTATACTTCGTAAATAATTAGCATCATTCTCATGTCCATGTCCATATGAATGTGACCAATAAGTAATTCCATAAATTGGCTTAACTATTTCTTTACATATGTTTTCATTAAATGTTGGTCGTTCCGCTGAACATACATCTCCACCAATACCATTCATCCAATCATATGCATTCATTAATCTTGGTCCTAAAAATGTTATATTAGCAAGTTCAAGTATGGAATCCGATGTTTGATTTTGATTATTTCCAAATAGTTGATCTAAAGATTGATCTGTCTGTAGATTAGAATGTATATAAAACATTAAACCATCAAAAAGTGATTGTGGGCCAGTAAAAAATTCTGCTTTACCATTCCAAAATTCATTTCGTTCTTGATCTGTTGCACGAGACCATAATAACATAATTCGATATAAAATATATGTCCACAATGGATGATGTGGTTTCGAAGCCATCCACGAGTTTGGTACACTATTCATTGAATTAAATGAATAATTTATTAAAGAAAGAATAACATTTTTATTAGTAAATAAATGATCAGCACGACGTATAGATTTATAATCTAAATCAATCTATCAAATAACAAATATTATTATGTTTTTTGTACTATAACAAAATTTATCTTACATAAAGTCCACCATAATAAAACATATATAAATATCGTACACTATCTGCTTTAAGAATAGCTGGTGATAATTGTTGAAATGTTGGGTAAAACCATGGAAATTTTGTTCGAACAAATAAATCGTTTTCGTCATCAGTCCATAAGTGATAACGCCAATTAGTATATTGGTTACACCATGTTTGACTCCATTGTTTTTGTCTCTCACGTAATGTTTCATTTTTCCATGTTTGATGAATTATTTTAGGAATTCCATTCCATTCTCCTGAATCAAACCATTCATCTAGTTCTTTTATTGTGACATGTCTACATTCCGTCCATGATGAAGTTGGATCAATTAACTTTAGTGTATTTTCATTTGGTAAAGGACGTTTTATGACATAAATAATAGTGATAAAAATACCTATAACAACAGCAACAAAAAGTAGATTATTTTTGTATCCTCCTAAAAAATTGAAATATTTCTAATCTATATTATTAATAACAAATCTATATTTACGATTGTCTACCATAGTTTGAGAGTATATTAAAAAAACGTTGACTTTTCGTTTCTTATCATGAGAGTCAATAGTTCTTATGCATTTTTTTTTTGGTCTTTAGACAAACATATTCTTGATGAGTATAGTTAACACTTTGTTACTTTTTCGTTGTTATCTTTTACGAATCATTATTTATTTTTAGTTTTTATCGATAAAACGAATGACAAAGAATAAATGACACTTTTCTAGTGCAATATATTATCTTTAGATTTTATTTAATTGAAACAAACTTTATCGTAATTTAGTCGAAGGATTTTGATTTTAAATTATACAGAAAATTAGTTAATAGGATTAGTATTATTACGTGAAGGTAAAAATGATGGGTGGCTGAATAAAAATAATTTTGTTTTTGATTTGTGATACGATTAGATCGAGAAACCAATCGTTACTTCGATTTTTCAAAGCTCGATGCTTCTATGATAGATAGAATATTTAATTTTACACACGATATCTAAATCAACAAATGGTAATACTAGCTATTTTTTTCTTTCACATACACTAGAGAATCGTTCATCATCATGCTCTTCTTATTGAAATCTGCTATATTGATATTTAAAAAAGAATGACTAGCTGAATCAATGATCTCAAAGCATTTAATAATAAAGACTGTATTAATATTCTCTTCACAAGTTTATTGTATGATTATTTTTGAATTAAACTATTTTTCTAATAACAAGAGTATTTCAATAATATGGATAGTCGAAGAGAAAAAATCATTAAAAATGTAAATATTTTTAATTAATTCTGTCTTGTTAGTAAAAAAGAATTATTTAATGAAGATATTCTGGTTTTTATTTAATATTTGATATTGTGGATAGTTTGTCTTTCAAAGATAATATTTGCATATATCATCAAGAAGAAGCCTTGATTCATTTTTAGATACAGTCACAAGAGACCAAATGATGATCAAAAAGAATATTATAAATCAAAAGATTCTATCTCTAGTGATCAAGATTCAATTCCATACCACACTATTCCCTATACTTTCTTCTGATAGATGAATAATTATTACTGCATGTCGATAGAATCAACTAATTCTTATTGTTTTTTTTCGCTATGAGCATCAAACTTCAACTTATTAATAAAATACATGAAAAATATTCATTAAGATATATAATCTGTCTATATAAATTCATTGTATTGTATTATTTATAATCTAAATCTATACATTATCTCAAGAGATAAATTTTCTTCACTAAATATTAAATTTCTTTTATTATTTATCATAACATTTCTTATTCTATACTAAGAAAAAACATGATTCCTGTTGTCTTTTTGCATTAATAATATTTTTATATGATAATTATCTCATCAAATATTATCCATTGATTTTTCTGCAATTATCTTTTATTTGAATTGAAAATAAAACAAGAAATAAAGGATTATTTTTTATCAAGACAAATTAGACACATAGTTAATGAATACTTCGGAGAGACAGTACGTACACATATATTCTTATGTATAACATTGTATACTTATATATACACACACAGAGACAAGCAAAGTCAAATATTATATATATAAGCACCGCCAAAACAAAGAAAGAAAAAGAGAAACAGCAATACACACATATTGTATTTATATATATATATATAGTATATCTTTTTTTTCTATAATACCCAGATAAAAAGTAAGTCTATTCATTAAATGGTGAAATAATATCGGAAAGATAAGGATTTTTTAAAACACCATCAATAAATTCATCTTTGGTTAAGGAACGATCATTATTAACATCGATTAATGAAAAAACATCATCGACACAACGTTCAGGTGGATAATCCGTTTTAGATTTTCCTAATAAATCATACATAGCCGCTATAACTTTGACCATTTCTTTTCGATCAATTGAATTATTTTTATCTTTATCATAGAGTGCAAATACATAATCAAGTTTTTGACGTGTTGTACCTAATGATGTTATAGCATAACCACCTAAATAGATTTCTTATTTAATTAAGAAAAAAGTTTTCAATTAAACATACAAAGAAATTCTGTAAAATCAATTTTTCCATTTGAATCTCGATCAAATGATGAAAAAACAAAATTAGCTATTTCTTTAACTTTTTCATCCGATTCAACACGTAATGTACGATAAAATTTATAAAATTTTTTACGATTCATTTTACCAGAAGGACATGCCAATAGAAATTGTTTTCTAAGAATAAAAAAAACAAATATTTTATAAAAAAAATTTTTTTTTTATTATTACTAACCTCCATGCAATAATAACTTCACGTTCTAAACCGGTATCTTCAATTAATTTGTCGATAACACTTTGATCAATATGACTCTTTTCAACTTTATTTCCCATTATCAATATTTGTTTGAGAATATGACGAAGAAAGAAAAACGAAAGAATATACTTATCTAATGAAAAGCAAATAGAATTATTAGATTGTGTCAAATTTCTTTAACAGAGAAAAAAAGAAGCTCTTATATTACGTTTCTGGTTAATTTTAGTAAAATATATACTAGAGATGTATATGACGCACAAAAGAAAAATTGTAAGCAACAAATAAATTTTCTTATTAATATCGTTACAGAACAAGAAATACTAGTTAGTTTTTCATTTGTTGCATATGAGCATGCGTACATTTGTTTAATCTCTCGAGAGTTTAACACTGTAGAAACATAGCTCCTATATTGATCACCTCATTCGTGCTTTTAATTAAATATGCTATATAGCAAAAAAAAAGAAAACGATTGCAATATTTTATATGTCTATAAAAAAAGGAAATCAATAAACGAGAATTAATATGGTTATTTTTTTCACTTTAGAAAACTACTTTTATTTACAAATATTGAATAGAACAAAAAATATATAAATAAAGAAAACGAAATAGTTACTATGCCTTGTGTTGTTTATTTAATCTTACAGAATAATAGGAGAGATCATTTAATACTTTCTATCAAAGTAAAACCGAACTAAAGTTACAAATGAAGTCTATATATATATCCAGAAAGGAAACAATATTTATATAACTTTTAGACCCAAGTATGCTTACGTATGTGTCATTTTGTAGTGACATGGTAGTATCAGTTATAAGAATCTAGCGTGTTTCGTCTTACTGATATAACGATCGTTTTTTGATAACACATATCAGGTTGATGGGTTAACACCATATATGTTTTGCGTTTTTTTTCTCTCTCATTATGACAAAATGAATCTTTTCTACACTTACTCTACTGTGATGGGGGTGTACTAATGCAATTTGTATTTTTTTTTTCGTATTATTTTGAGAGTGGTACTTAATGTGTATTTCTTCTTTTTTTTATATGTTTGATCTAACTGAACCCTCTTACTCGTTTTTCTTCACCCTCAAGATTGGACACAGTTCTCTTCTAAATACTTCGATATCTCATGGGATCATTTTTCTGATCAGCAGGTTCCATTTTATTTCTCTTTTTTCTCTCGCTCTCTCTATATGAGTGTTCTAGAGATTTCAATAAGCAATGATTATCTTTCTCAAGAGCTTTTCTTTTTTGTTTTTATTATTTTTCTCTGTTCAAAACTGATCGACAAGTCAAAATAGTCTTCTTCTTCTTCTTCTTTTTTCTTTATAAATAAACAAAAAGAAAATAAAAATACATAGAAATTTTTACTAATATTTTGGCATTCGTAACGATTATACCTGATTTAATTATGTCGATCTAGGGCATGTCTGACGAGACTATGAAAAGTTAATCAATATCAGTTAAATAGAAGATAGAAAACAAAGAAATGAAGATAACACATGAGAAGAAAATTCGTTAAATAGGTTATGATCAACGAAGCAAACTTATTCTTGATAACAGCATCCGTCAAGAATCATTGACAGATGGATAGACGTGCAACAGACGATCTTAATTTTCTTATGCGACTTATTTTCTTTTTCTTTTACACGATCCAAGGACTAGTTAATAAATAGATAGATATTCTTCGTGCTATATTGGGTTGTTCGTTATATAAACATTATTTTTTTCTTATATATTTCTGTTTTCTTTGATCTCTTCTCTTTGCTTCTCTTTTTCTCTCTTTAGTAATTCTTTCATGGACAGATTTTTTTTGTTAATACTACATCTTCTTTCTTTGCTTCTATATCTTTTTTTTTCTATGTAATCATCATTTTTATTCTATAGTACATAAAGCGATCAAACATTTAATGTTAATGTTGTTGATACTACTGATTCTTTTATTTATTTGTATTTGCTTGGTATTCGAAACCATTTTATGTCAGAGTACATAGCTGCAAATTACAATGACTACATCAATTGTATTTATATATATATATATATATATAAAGAATTAAACCGTCAATAGATATTTTCTCTTTCGACAACATATGTATCTTACCATACAGGAAGTACTTAATATTAACTAATAGGAAATATACAACTAAGAGTTGGCAAATGGTTGAAAATTGATTTTTGTTTATCTGAATATCTTTAGTAATATATATTTTTTCTGTCACAAAAAATGATCAATTTATGTCAGAATATATGTTGGAAAAGATTAATCAAGATCTGAAAAAAAGAAAACAAATCGTTTTTAGTTATTGATTAAAAAACAAGATAATTAGCTTGGTCTAGTTTGAAAAAATATACCGTGATTCTATTTGATGAATTATTTTAGTATAGAAAATTTATTTTCTTAATAAAAAAATACTTATGAATGCATTTGAAAATATATTCAATCAACGTCTTTTAACTTTATTATTGCATGAATTAATTCTTAAGAATGAATCTATGTAAAAAGAGGTTTTTCTTTCTATGATTAAGTGTTACAATAACTTCCTTTCTTGTTGAGTCAACTAAATAAAAATAAAAAAATAAGCTTATACACGACATGTCAACATCGTATGTATGTATAAAAACAAGAACATCGATTACCGACTTTCGGTGATGAAACTTTGTTTGTTATCGGAAAGGGCGGATATATAAACATTATTGCGACGAATATTTATTCGTGTCTGGACAATGTTCAATATGTACAATTAGAGAACGGAAAGAATAGACAACAATAAAACATAGTCATCGATTTAGGTTCTTTTGACTAGAAAAAAAGTAATACTTACATACAATATGTTTCTAGTTCTTGTGTTTTACTTACCTACTCTAGTTTTAGCTCGTATTGGTATGTATAACGCTAAAATTTTAGAATTTTAACTTTGTTCTATTTTGTAAATGAAATTAATTAGGTCATTCAAAACAAAGTTATTGTTTGGATGAAATCAAAAGTGGTACACTTTCACTTGGATGTCCAAATAATCAATTGATAAAATTAGGACGTATTATATATGGTTATTCATGGTCAAATGATTGTTCATTTATTGATAAAGATTGTACGATGGATGTACCGCGAGATGATATTATCTGTTTAACAACTACAAATTGTACAGTTCGTGTTGTTGAACATCCATTAATCTTACAAGATTGTTGGAATTTAGCTGCATCTTATGTACAAGCAGAATTTGAATGTATTGCAGGTTTGTATGGCGTCTTTTTTTCTTTGCTTCTGAGTATTCTAGTATAGGAAATGCTAACAAACTGATTGAATAAATTAATAGAAAGAAAATTACAAATTATGATCACGAACTATGCTATAGTAAGAAAAGAAAAGAAGATATGCATGTTATTACATAAAAATTAGCCTCTCTAATAAATAGAGAATGAGAATACTCATTATCATAGATAGAATATTCTTTTTGTTCTATTAGAATATTCACTACAGAATGTTTGTCAACCTCAAGATACAACATTAACATATGGTTTTCTTTCAACACCAAATTATCCACATGGTTTCTCATCAAATCTTAATTGTCCATGTGCATTATTTGCTTCACCAGGCTATGCTATTGTACTTGAAGTTATTGATTTTCGTTTACCAACATGTGCTGAAGCTGGTCTTATTCTATGGCTTGGACAAGATTTTCAAACAAAATGTTTAACACAAGATCCACTAACTGTAGTTAGTAATATTCAACAAAATGTAACACTTCGTTTTTATACATTAGCACATGTTAAACATGGTGGATTTTTAATCAAATATTCTGTTTTACCTGTATCAAATAATGCAACTGTACGTTTACAATGTTATGTTGCACCAGCAGTTAGTCGGTCACCAATAGCACAAAATTTTCCAATAGAAAATATGCCACAACAGCCTTCTTTACATGTTCCTATTACGAATAATGAAATGAATCCTCCTATTGATCAAGGCAGAGGAAACGGAGGAGAAGGAGGAGAAGATAGAATTGAAGGAGGAGAAATACCATTTCCATCATTAGTTGCAACTCATTCAAATGATTTAATAAAACGATTTCCATCCGCACATGATGGTGCTCCGCCTATTCTTGGGATACTTGAAGAACATAAAGTGTGTGAGAATATTTCAAGACATGAAATATTCATCTTTGTTTGCTTTAGGATAATACGGCATTGGCTGGTGTTAATAAACAACAACAACATCAAATTCAAGGCCTTAATCGAACAATTTATAATCAATGTAAGAAAAAAATTGTCTATTTCTTCTTCTTCTTCTTTCTCAATAGTTAATAAGATTAAAAATTTAGATTTATTTCCTAATTCAACATCATTTCGTCGTACAAGTTTGACATCAATTGTTGTTAGTGTTATTGTTGGTGTCATTTTTCTTCTGGTCATGATCAATGCTCTGATATGGTTCATTTTTTCGTTGCGGTAAGCACAAATCCGCTCGTTACTTCTTCTACACAGCACGCAACTGCATCTTCTATCGTCTTATATTATTATTGTAATTATTATATATCGTGTATATGTATATATTATGTATATAGACCAAGCCGTTCCAAATCGACTACGTCTTTTCGAAATTTATATCCTCATCATCCACCGACAATAAGCAATGAAACAAAAACAACAACATCAGCATCAGCATCAGCATATCCAACACCATTGCATCCTCGTCGTTTTCATTCACAATCATCCGTACGTCTTGATGATTCATCAATAATGTCAGATCATTTAATGCGTCGCGATCGAATATTACCTCAAGCAGCAGCAACAAATCGTTTAAAAACTCTTCGTTCATTAATATTTCGTGGTCATAGAACTCTGGGAATTGATCCAATGACAATCAATAATCAACATCTTCATCACCATCATCGGCGGCAGCAACAACAACAACAGCCGCATCAAAATAATCGAGATCTTGATTCAACATTATCTGGATATCATATACGTTCAATATCACAATCATTAACTGAATCTCAATTGCCAAAATCTCGTTATGAAGAACAAGAAGATTGTGTTGAACTTAAATCTGAATGTTCAATTTTAACAAATCGTAATCATGGCTTAATGAATCCAATAAAATCAAATCAACAACCACGACAAATCAATTCTTGGGATGACATTTGACATGTTTCTTTTTCATCGTCTTTCTCGCTCTCTCTCTCTCTCTCTTTCTTCTTTATATTCATAATGAACACCTAATGTAACGTCACTAGGGAAAAGTGAGTTCAAAACGCCATTCAATTAATGCATGCTCGTTTATCACCGGTGTCGTTGTCATCGATGTTTC